TTGAGCTAAACACATGCTGAGCTCAGGCAATTCGATTAAGCATACATATATATATTTTTTTAAAACATGCTCGGCAATCGAGATTGTGCATGTTATGAAGTTGCCCAACAAAATACATATTAATTAGCTCATGTTGTTGGATCACGTTTCCAATCTAAGATGTTACTATAGAAGCGATTATCATTCTAAGCCATTGAATGCACACGATAGAAGAGGCTTAGCAGAGAGTAGACATATGTAGTTCTAGAGTTTCAAACATATACTACATTTTGTTATAATGCCTGTAAAATCCTGTGTCTTTCCTCTAGCAAGCAGCTGTATCACATGATTACATTCTAACTACAAAATCATACAAAATTACACAAGATAAAAGCTACTTGCAAGATTTGACTTTTACGGGTGAATAAAATCATGGTGTTCATAATACATTAAATTCATGTCAAAAAACAGAGAAAAATAAAATATACGAAATTCAGATGGTGCATGAGATTTCTAGTAGATCAACGTTTGTAGATGGGTTTTGGTAATCTGGAGATTTTGAAGGTATTTTGGTTTGGTTAATACTTGACTATAAAAAAGTAACAAATTTGCGAGTGTTTTGTCACATTTTGATTGTTTGTCAATTTTCTAAATTTTTTTTACATTTTTTAGTGTTTGTCACTTTTTTGTGTCAATTTTTCTTTTTATTTGATGTTACTTCTATTTTTATTATTTGTTACTTTTTTTCAATTTCTGTCACTTTTTTTAGTGACAAAACATCATTTTTTAATAAAAGTAACATTGTATGTCACTTTTTAATAATAAAATGAAGCTGGACTTTAAAATTTCATGTTTAGTTTTTGGTTGGTATGTTCAATTGGAACTATTGTGATCTGGTTAATGTTTGATAATTTTCTAGTGGATAGATTGTGTGTCACTTTTTTATTGTTGTGTCACTTTTTTGAATTTCTATCATATTTTTTGAGTGATTGTCACTTTTTTGAATTTCCGTCACTTTTTAGTGTTCGTCACTTTTTTTAGTGCTTATAACTTTTTTTTCTTGTCATTTTTTTAAAATTTCTATCACTTGTTTGAGTAACAAAAAACATATTTTTATTTTTAATAAAAAAAGACTTACTTGAAAAATGTGACATTGCGTCACTTAATTTTACACGACATTCTTTATTCCTTTTATTTATTTATTTTCTATCACTTTTTAAATTTTTTGTCACTTTTTTGAGTGACAAACATTACTCTTTAATAAAAAAAAAATGACGCTTGACTTTTGACGGTGCGTAACTTCTTTTTTTATAAAAATGTCACACAAAAAGTGATTTAACTTTAAAAAGTGACATCGTGTCACATTGTATTAAAAAATGACATTTTATTCGCAGAGTCTTTTTTATTTTCAAAATGCTTTTATGTATGATTTCAAAACACTACTTATTTTAGGGGGATTATGTAAGTTGCCCTTTATTTATTCTAAATTATTGTTACTTTTTTTAGTGTGTGCCATTTTTTTTCAATCACCTCCTTAAAATTTCTATCACTTTTTTTAGTGACAAACATCATTTTTTAATAAAATTGAGATTATAAAAAAAAGTGACACTAAACTTTTAAAAGTGATATTGTGTCACTTAAAGAAAAAAAGTGACAATTTTTTTTTAAAAAGTGGCATTGTGCCACTTTTTAATTTTACACAGTATTTTTTACTTTTAAAAAAAATTTTCATATGATTTTTTAAAAGACCCATAGTTTTAAGGGTATTTTGTAAGTTGCCCAAAAAAAAGGGGCCCAAAAAATGAGGCCCCCTCTAGTTTTGGGCCTGAGTCGCTGGCCTCATCCACCTCTATGCAGGACCGGCCCTGAGTATCTGAATATGAAAATGAGAGTTGAGTAGTAGTAGGTATAGGGTAGTGGTTGTAAATAGAAGTTTAATATGGTGAATTAGTGACTCTTACACTCCATCTAATGAGATATGTTTCGTAAAGCGTACTTTGTAATGATATTCGCAATCACATAACCCACTCAGTAGGCTTTTGTCCCACACGGGAACCTTATAGCATCAGCATTTTGCCCATGTTTGATCCACATTATTTTTTCATTCTCATTCTTCTACTCATTTTCAATCACACATCCTTCAATAAAAAAATATTTTCTATCACATCAATAACTTTTTATTCTTTTTCAACCACATTTTCCCAATCACATTACTTCAAAAAAATGCATTCTCTCATTTTAATGTGTACCAAACGGGCACTTAATTTAAGTGACTCATAAGCCAAGTCTTGAATTTGAATAGTAGGAAACGAGAATGAAAAAATGAACATAGGCTTTCGAAAGAGGACGATGCAGATGAGTACGGCTGGAGCAAGATCTTAAGACGAGGGATCCCGACCGTCGTTATGAAACAAAGTCACACATTTTGTCACTCACTTTTGCACACTAATTGGTCAAGCACATTACTAAAACCTCACTTATGTCACATACACACACACACACACTGACTGTGTCAGCATTCTCCAGAAATTGCGCAGAACCTAACATCTCATGTACTAAAGCTAGCATTGATGATTAATCATAGTAAAAAGTACCCTAAGATGAGCACCTCGCAATAAAACTTTAACACTTTAACAGGTCAGAGTTCTGTTCAGTTGAAAGAAAAAGTTACTGTTGCCAGGAAAAAGATCAAGAAAAAAAATGTGAAAGAGTTGAGGATTGCCATCACTTCATCTTGAATTCATTATCTTCCAAGAGGAATCACTCCAACTTCCTTTCAGATTTGGTCTCAAGCCATCAATTTTACTGCATCCCCAGGTAAGGAACTCGGGGCCTCACGGGCGTCTTCGAAGGACTTACCCTACAATACCATCAAACTCATCAGAGTAAATGGAAAATTAGACTTCACAAAAATTTATCTACAACTCGATGAATTATACCTGATGCGTTCAGATCCCAAAACTTTGCCACAACAGTTGAGAGCCAGAAGTGCACTCTCAGCCTACACATTGCGATAAAATATAAGCTTCCTTGAGTTCTTACAAGTTCAACGAGTGTAAAATAAGTAAAATGATTCAACTGATTAAAAAGTATAGATCATTAATTGCACTCGATGATGAACAAAACAAAGCACGTTTACTGCCACATTTCGGCATGACATCATAATAAAGAAATCCAGGAAGAGAAAAGGCGTATTAAGCATTACTAGAAGCAAGAAACAAGGACAAGTACAATGTACGTAAATAAACATACCATGGAAAATTCAACAAAAGCAATTCGCATTGAGTGCATGTGATCCCCCAAGAGCCTTAGGCGGGAAACCTACAATTAAGAAATCCAGTCATTCATGACTTCCAAGCCAAAACTTCATATTTGTTTAGTAGTGCTTATAATGTGTTGGGTTCTGCGAAATGTGTGTATAATAAGCAAATATTAAGGTATGAGTTCTACGAATTTGTGGATAAAAAGTATGTTTAACCAGCTTAAATTATAATTTAAGATTTGCCAAACGTGTCTTCATAAATCCATCCTGATGTTTGAAACTTTATGCTTACCTCACCACATCTTGATTCAAAGAAGCTTTTGACATCATCTTGAGAAACCTACTCGGCATAAAACATATTACGAGTGGAGTGGATTTAAAACATTAATGTGAGCAGAAGAAGACTATTATTCTGCATCTATACATGCTTAACAAGCAAATAGTACTCATGCATAAAAATGTGAATAATTAACAGTCAAGAAGATAAAGTAAAAAACTACGGTATTCAGCACAGCGGCAAGATAGGGAAAGCACCTTCTTATCAATATTTGTACAGTAGACTGTCCTGGCACACATTTCACGCTCATCCTCGGACTACAGATAAGAATTTGATAGATAATGAAATCAAATTCAGAAAAATTAATATAGTACTCTTAGACAGTATTAACAGCATTTGAGATATGTTCATACCCTGGGAAGGAATGTAGGATTCACAGGAAGAATGGCAGTTTTCGAAGGCAAGACCTTTACAGGAGAGAAACCCAAGAGTGTCCCACAAAGGCTAAGAGAAGCTCTAGCAGAATCTGTCAATGTTATATCCACATGGAGAAACTCAGAAAAGTTACGCAATGCTAGAAGAAAGAAGGAAGAAAACCTTACACTCGTCAGCAAATTCTACGAAAGCAAAGCGAAGACGGGAGTGTGGATCACCACAAACTCGACAATCAACAACCTGCAAAGCGGAGACAGAATGAGAAAAAAAATAGTCAGATGTCATTATGATATGCCATGACGATTAGTAGTTCCAACCAGTAAACCAAAATTTTGGTCAAGAAGAGATTGAGAAGGTTGGTGCATCATCAGGTGGGAGAAAACATGTCAACCTATGGACTAGAATACAAAATCTATGCCTACAATACCTCACGAAATATAGAGCATGTCATTCAAGTCACTAGCCATTATTTATTATCTGCATAAAGTGGTTTTTGTAACAGTCTTACAAGAATCTTCTCCTCTGATTCCAAAACGAAAAGGTATACATGGATTAATCCATCTAGCATATGATTTTTTTTTTTTTTATTTACGACCAATTTAAGGAGTAAAGAATCCTGAGGATTGTTCATCTTGAAGAGTGTGAAAAGCACTAGGAAACCCAAATTTTTCTTGGGAGTCGTTACCTTTAATGAATAATCAAACTAAGATACTCTAGGTTTCATCCAGGAGACAAATCAATTAGAAATGCAAGTAATTGAACTATGCTTGGAGATGGGTGAGTCTCTATGAGCTTAGTAAAGACACTTACTCCAGTGGTTGGGCCTACTATCCACAGTGACTAATAAAATCAGCATACTGAAAAATCAAATGCACCACACATCCAACATCAACTTTTCATTCCAGTCAAAAACAAATAGAGATGACTAATATTTCTCCAATCCAATAAGGACAACCATAGTTGCAGGACATGGAAAATCACACATATAGTACTTCGCGAGGAACATGGTGAATAAGCAAATCTACAGTTAATACGTAAACCAACAATTTCTTCATAGATAACGAAATTGAAATAATCAAAACTATATTGAGTATTATCTCTATGAGCTTAGTAAAGACACTTACTCCAGTGGTTGGGCCTACTAGTCACTAATAAAATCAGCATACTGAAAAATCAAATGCACCACACATCCAACATCAACTTTTCATTCCAGTCAAAAACAAATAGAGATGACTAATATTTCTCCAATCCAATAAGGACAACCATAGTTGCAGGACATGGAAAATCACACATATAGTACTCCGCGAGGAACATGGTGAATAAGCAAATCTACAGTTAATTCGTAAACCAACAATTTCTTCATAGATAACGAAATTGAAATAATCAAAACTATATTGATTATTACACTTATAGATAAAAGAAGTATGTAGATTGAGGAAAAAGTAAAAAGGAAAAAGAAAGAAAGAGGAAGAGAACAGCTTATGGGATCCAAACAGATCTCATTATAGGTGCCACCAATGACCAACCAACTTATTTTTCATCCATCATAGTAACATACTCTATCTGTCCATGTTCGAATGCTCCTATTTTCCTTTTGGGATGTCCACTAGTAATGCTCTCTCCAGGTCAAAGAAGACGCAAATCAGGGGTAATCTTTTTTCTCGAAGCTAGCTGGCAACATTCTATTGGAGTTACTAAGAGATGGAAGGTGTCAACATATCACATATATATCATGGAGGCATGTTTCGTGCTGGTGCATAACAAGGACTAAATCCCCTTCACACTATTTCGTAATATGATCCTTCCACCATTAAATAACATAAAGATGCCTTACGGCTTAACTTGAAAATAAACTAAGTTTTCTTACATAATCCGCTCAGCTTGTCTCGTCTAAGTCCTTCCCTTGCTCATCAATTGAGACAAATGAGCCAAAGCTGAAGCATGGATGTTGAAGTTCCACCATTACACCGCTACGTTCTTTAGACCTTCACCACGGTAATGCCTAACGAAAAATTTTTGATATCTCGCGCTTGACCAATATTAAATAATATTACGAGCTAAAGTATTTAGCACCACAGTATTACATTTTTTGAAAATGTATTTAGCCCCATTTTGAGCCCATTCTTTAAAAGCTCATTTTCCCAAACTCATTTCCAACTATATATTTTCCCAATAAAATAATTTTACACAAAAAATAAAAAAAAATAAAAAAATTCCCACTCTTTAACCACTATTACAAAATCTATTCTCCCAAAAAATGGGGCTCAAACAACCCCTTAAATTTAATGCTTAGTCAGCTTATGTATGATTTGACAAATGTTTATTAAATTCGAAAAGTTAACATCCTTCATATTATGGTCTCACACAACTATTTGAAATGCTGAGGTACGAGGAAATCATTTACTAAGCATGCAATACAATATTTTTATTTAACATTTATACAAGTTCAGCAACTTACTTGTCCATAGCTGCTGAATAAGCCAGCCAGTTGTTCTTCAGTTATCTTAAATGAAGAGGTGAGTTAACTGTATTAATATGAATCATACAATATCGATAGAATAACATGAAGTCCGGTGATCTTTACTTACATTGTGATCAATGTCAGAAACATAGACTGTTCGCCTAATATTTTCTTCTCTTTGAGCTCTAAAGGTTCTACCGCCCATTCTCCTCCTGCCTTGGTTGCTGTTATTTCTTCTCTGAGAAAACACAAACTTAAATCTTATGAGTGCAAAAAGAACATGCAAATGTAGAGAGTGTCCACCCAACGGATCTAAATTATAATTTTTTAGGGGAATAAAATTTGGTATTTCCTAATCACAATAAATAAATAATTCAATTTGCATCAATTCAGCTCCAATCCAACTCTTAAAAGTCAAAAAAATAAATAAATAAATAAATGAGGATTAATAGTAATAAATAAGCATCCCTTTAAAAATTGACAATAGCAATGGATTTCAGAATATGAAATCAAATCATCAGGTAATTAAATGTCCGGAACTTCTATAGTTACTAATTAGATTGATGTGCATGTGGATATATGCATATAGCGTGTGCATCCACATGTACTTAACCTGGAAATAGATTATCAACAATCAAGGTAACAAACTGGATGTGAATTATTCAAGTCAAACAAACAAACTATCACCAGTTAACTCTTAACTGATAAACGGAAGTCAATGATCAATTTTTTGAACGATCCATCACCAACAAATGAAGCATCGGCAATCCATTTTAATAAAATAAAAGTCAAAAATCCATTTTTTGATCAATGTTTTAATTTCCAGTTTCAATTAAATCCATCTTAAATGATACTAACAACGGAACAATTTGAAAAAAGGAAACTGATTGGTGAAAAGCTTTTAGCATTCATACCCTCGAGCATGGATTGACCACAGCAACTATGGCCAAGAAACTGAAACTTTCAAATGATAAAAGCACAACTTAGTTTCCAGATTCAATCCTACCCATCTCAAGTGACACTTGCAAAAAAGGAAAAATTTAGATAATTCATGTCCAATTCCTCTCCATAAGTTTACTATTAAACAAACATTTCCTAGAAAGCAAATCCAGATATAACATTTCAAGGTTAGATGAAACAGCCCTGCTTTGTTCTGTGTTTGATATGATCACATTTCATCTATGTTGTCTAAATATTGCAATCCTTCGTAACAACGACTTATGCAACTTTTGTAAATGCAAATGAATTGTCCAAATTCCAAATGTTTGAACAAATAAGTGAATACATCAAACCTTGGACTAAATCACATGAAATGGACAGAATCCACCAAAAACTGTATCAAGCCAATTTTCACGATTCCAAAATCCATAAATTCTTTTCTTATATGGTAAGTATCTAATATGTAAATCGATGTAATGTGAACAAACCTAAAGAATAGACTAATAAATCGAATAAGCAAGCCAAGATAGAACATAAAGTCAATAAATAATGAAGCACCATACAATTTCACAATGTTATGAATCAATTTAACAATGAATATAACAAAATCAATTAAAGGGAGAACTAAATTTATACCCTTGGGTTTTTCGCAAAACCATCATTGCCCGAAAGCTTCTTGGCTGGCACAAAATTGTTGTCCACCATTTGGCTGCGATTATAGGAGGAAGGAAAAAACTCCTTGGCCAGAGGATTCAACTTGAGTTTCTTCAACATATCAACAATTTCCTTCATTTGCATTTCCGATTTCGAATCAGAGTCCTTAACAATAAAATCTACATCCTTATCCCCTGAATCCTTAATGTTAAAATTATCATTCTTTTCATTTATTTTTTCACTTGCAGTTTCAGTGTTTTTGGGTGATGAAGGCACCATTTCCACTGCTACTGCTACTGTTACAGTCTCACCAGACACCTCTGCACCAGCCGCCATGGAAAATCACAAAAACCCTCTAACAAAAAATTACAAATTTTACTCACAAAAAAAAGACCAAAATTTATCGATAAAAAGACACAAGAATTCTGCCTCAAATATATTAAAGCTATGTGCCTCTTCTTTAAAAACCACAGTCTTTGCACCTTTATATAAATATATAGATCAATCAGTAATGGGTTTTTTTTTCTCAAATTCCAGATTTTGGCTATCTCTGAATGTAATCTAAACAGATTCTCTTTATATGTGCGTGTATTAAAGCTGTAACCATAATCTCATTTGGCGAATAAGGGCAGAAATGGAAGCGATATTGATAACGATGATGATGGAGAGAGAGAGAGAGAGAGAGAGATGAAAAATTTTGTTGTGTAAAATTTGTAATTTTTTGTATGGTCTTTTTTTTTATTTAGTTAAATCAATCTATCATTTAATACTAATGATCACTTAAATATTTGTTTAGCATTAGTGCTTATGAATAATATTATTCATTCTAAAATTATTTTCGACTAAAGAAAATGTTTTTTTTCTAGAAAAAAATTTATTTTTAATATAATGCTGAAAATTATTTATTGTTATAACATTTTTGTATTAGTACTTAAGAGAAAAAAATTAAAATTTTAGCTTGAATTTTTATAGCAAAGTATAAACTTGGAATATACTTCGTTTGTTTAAGTTCATATTTGATCTATATCCATCGTGTGTTCTTTTTTCTTTTATAATTTTTTTTTATTTGAATTTGCATTAAATATATTTGTGCTTGTATATAAAATTAAAATCTAAACTCCAATTCTCTCATAAAAATCTAAAAATAAAAATAAAAGATTTTTTTTTTTTAACATTTGAGGGATGAAAAACTGAAATTCCTTCTGGTTCTCCCTGA